CTTTTTTTTTTTTCTTTTTTAGAATTCAAGAAATATATCCTAACCCTAAAAAAATCCCACTTCTACATACCAGCTAATGCTTATAGTTGTATTATGTACCTTCTGGACTAACTAGGAAACAATCAAAGCTGTGCTGTGTCCCCCACAACAGAAGTGATTCACATATGAAGAGCACCATTCCCCCTTGATACCCAGTGACAAAGAAATAAAAAGATATCAATTTTTATTGGTTTGGTTTTTTAATCAGTGACTTACAAACTTCTAAAAACTGTCAAGACAGCAGCCACAACTTGATAGAAGTATGAGGCCAACACTGACAGAGACTTCTCAGTGAGAACTAAATAGCTTAAAACTAAACAATAAAATGAAAATAGATCTCTGAATTCTCAAACATAACTTTTTAGATAACAGGAACACAGAGTGAGTTTAAATAATCTTGCTAAACCCCTTTACACTCCTTTATATATTATTTAAATACCATTATGCCTATAAAACAATTATCAGAGACTTTGCAACATTTGTATCAGAAAAGGACTCAGAGAAAAACATCACAAAAAATAAATCGTTTTCATTAATTTCCATATACCTAAATATGATAGATAAAATTATACAAAATATTGTTTAAACGTTAAAGACGATTTCTCTTTGGTTAGCTACAGGTTCCTTTCTTCAAAAGCTGTGAAGATACTGAATATTTATTAAAAAACCCTGCAGTCTTTCAGCAGCTAATACTCTAAAACCATCCACACTGTATAGCAATTTAAGCTAGTAGCTAAAGAGGTGAAATTTCATACCTGTTGTTGAGGCCCATTTCACAAATATTCGTACTTGGTTCCATTGCCTGTGCAATTATAAAGGGACAGAAGTGTTACAAGTGCATATGAACAAGTGGCAACTGAGCTACTTTTATTTTCAGGTGAGAGAAGTACAGCACTGAAACTTCTGATACATCTACTGACACAGAACATATTCAGGTGTAACAAGGGAAGTTGCTCAAACTTTACCAGATCACCCTAAGTACTTTCACTCGTACAAAATAAAAATTACCCCCATGCTTTTTTAGTAGCATTCAAACAGAAATAATCAAGGAGCTTTCTTAAAACAAACAAGCAAAAAAACCTCTTTTTGGTGGACAGAACAGCCAACAACTCGCGTTTATTTATTACAGAGAGGCCAACTCTTGAATTATTTGGGAAAGAAAACGTGAGCAAACATAAGATAAAAAAGCTTAAAAAGGCAACAGGAGCTGCTTTTGTAGAGCAAAGGTGCAAGAGAAAAGAATGTGAAAGAGCAAGAGTGAGCTATGGTGACTTTTAGAAATGGAAAGTTAAACTTCAGATAATTAATGCTAACTGAATGAAATAACAGCAGTGAAGTGACTGGATAGAGCTGTGAAAGCAAACTCCTGGAACTGTTTTAATTAGTATGTAAAACAACGTCGGAATTTTGGATCAAGTCCAGAATTCTTTAAGCGTTATCGGACAAAAAGACACGGGACGTCCTCGGCACCACACAAGTAGAGCTCGGATGTAACAGAGGAGGAATCTGTGCATGTCTCAAACTCTGAATACACAGCTGTCATGGTCACCTCCCTGCGCACAGCCTGCGCACCGACCCCCGGGGCCGGAGCAGCTTCGTGGCACCCGCGGCATCTGCCACAACCATTCCCTAAGGCCCAGGAGGGCTTATTTGCTCTTCCTTCCCCCAGAGCAGCCCGGGCTCCCTGTGTGTCCCCTCACACCCCGCAGAGCCCCCTCCCCTCCTGCCCGGGCAGCGGGCTCTGTGCTCGCCGTGGGCAGCTCCCCACGGCTCCTCAGGCCGCCCCCGGCCCGCACCCACGGCTGTCCCCGGCCCGGCCGCCCCTGCCCGCGCTCGGGGCCGCTCGGGCCTCCCCCGGCCCGCACTCACAGCCGGCGCAGCGCCCCGAGGCAGCCGCGGCCCCGCTCGGCCGCCGCCAGCGCCATGTTGGGGAGCGCGGGCGGCAGCGGGGAAAGCCCTCAGGGGGAGGGAGGGAGCGGGCGGAGGGAGCGCGTCACCGGGAGGAGAGCCGGGCACGGCCGGGGCCCGCTCGGGGAGAGCCGCGGAAATGGCTGTCGGGGGCGGGGCTGCGCTGCACCGAGGAACGGCGCTGAGAGGGCCGATGGAATAAATTTCATTTAAATGTGAAACGATGCGTGTCGCTGAAGGGTTGTCGGCCCTGTGGGTGCACGGAATCAGCTGAGCGCGCTCCTTCAGGAATGATATCCGGGGTTGTAGTGGAACAGACACGCAACGGTGAGGGTGCTTGGGAGGGCGTGGGCATCCTCGGGTGCCTCAACATCCCCAGATCCGGCATCAAAACCGCCTCGGGCAGCAGAGGCGGTCACAGAGCGGAGGGATCCGAAAGCCGTCAGGTTCTATTCTGCTCCCTCAGGCTTTGGAGCTTTGCAAGCCACAGAGCCACCGAAGATTTGGGCTGGAAGGGAGCTGAAAGCTCATCACATTACATTACGCTCCCTTGAGAAGGGACATCTTCCAGCAGCCCAGTTTGCTGCCAACACCATCCAGCCTGGCCTTGGACACTTCCAGGGATAGGGAATCCACAGCTGCTCTGGGCAGCCTGTGCCAGGGCCTCAGCACCCTCACAGGGAAGAATTTCTTCCCAATATTTATCAGTTTAAGGCCCAGCCCACCCCAGTGTGGGGCCTTGCTAAACCTGCCCGGCCCCAGCACAGTCAAAATAAGTATTTCCATTTGTTGTTTACAAATAGCAAAGCTGCCATGCTTTTTTTCACAATGGGAATACACAAGCTATCAATTGCAATAGTGGCAGTGTTTAGTGTCTTAAGTGTTCTCCATACTCTGAAGCATTTTCTTACATGAAGAGCATCTTCAGTATGCAGGCAATCTCTGCTTGCTCCATTCTTGCTATTTTTACTTTGCCATGGTGACCCCTCACACCAGTGACTGGAAGGTTCAAGTAGGTTAAACAGACACCAGATCAGCTTGGAGAAATCATCCCTTGGCCTTGACTGCAAGAGGGATCAGCACTTGCTCTATGGATGAGATTTTAAAAACTAAATTGTTAAGTGAAGCTTCCGCTTTTCCATTAGCCATTCACTCCAATCTTCTTCAACATAAGATGCTGACAGTGTAGATCCTACTTTTGCCTTTCATAATCCAGAATTTTAAAAGGTCATGTTTAATTTGTCTCTAAACACAAGATGGCAGCATTTTATGTAGTTTAACTGTTGGACACTGAGGAGAGCAACAGATATTTTACAGTACATAAATGAGAGGTGGCAGAGGAGGCTTTTAGCAATAGAACTAATGGAAATGGCAAACTCATTTACATTGCAAATCTGCTCTTGATGGAGGCATCCTGCCAGCAGGGCCTTTAGGGCTTGCAAAATCAAGAGGGATCACCAGACTGTACATGCAGATGTTTGAAAGTACCGTGTAATAAAGCATAAATGCAGAAATAATAATTTCCTCAGTGACACCAGTAATATCTTTGATGTGCACATCCATAGTCCAAAGCACTCAGGTGAACCTGCCAATGTAGTGGATAGGTGGGTTGGCAACATTTTTTTTTTATTTTATTGTGGAAGCTGGGCATATTTTGAAAGCTGCTTTGATTAATAATTTGAGCCGTTTTCTCATAACAATTTTTCCCATGAGCAGGTTGTGAAAAATATAATGTGAAATATGAATCCATTTTCCTTGACCTGACGACAAAAAAGCCATTCCTTGGTAAAATGAGGTTAAACATTGTCTGGACTCATGATTCATAATCTTCAAACATTTTTGTGATATAGGAAAGTCTCAGTAAAACTGAGGTTCTAAACCAAGATCAGTGTCTAATAAACACATATATCCTACTCTCATTGAGTCAGGATATCCTGACCTTCCTTTTTCCCAACAGCCATTTATGTTGTTTCTGCTTGTTGGAAAAGCTCCTATCTAAAATTGTGAAGAAATAGCTAAGAATCTGAGTCAATTAGTTTATAATTTCATACAGTACTTGGGATCTACCAATTCCATAGGCAATAAGACTCACAGAAAAAGAGAAGCCTATGTTTTGTGACATTTTGTGGCCAGCTGGGGAAGCCCAGATGCTGATGAAAGCCCAGCAGTGTTATGTTGCTGTGGCAGATAAACTTCAGACCCACATCCCCCTGCTTTGTTGGCATGCAATGGCCACAACCCTGGATGTGAGGAAGAAAGTCTTGTCCAAGTCTTGTCACCTTAATCACAAAGGGTTAACTCCACAGAAATCCTTCTCTTCTCATGCTTGTTATTTTGCTCAAATTGATGCTTAAAAATATACCTCCTTTTTTCTCCTAAATATTCTGGTGCAAAGGTTTCTTCAATGAATTCCAAACCTTTGTGCCTCTGGGACAGTCCAGGGTGTGACTCATAGATGGGGACTTTTGCCTTTAAGTAAAATAGTTGACTTTTCCTCCATCTGCCACTAAACCTTGTCAAGAAAGAATTTTGAAACACCAGCAGCCTTTGAGGGCCTAATTCACACACACAAGTGTGTATTTACCAGCCCAGCTTATAAAACATGAAGAGGGAAGGAATCTAAATAGGTGCAAGCCTGGCACCAAATTTAACACTGTACCAGGCCAAGCAAGTACCGATGAGCAGAGCAAACTGCCCCTGCTCCCCAGGCAGCCCTGCTTTTCTTCTGAAGGACAAATAAAGGGGCTTGCAAAGTTTTCACCTTGTGACATTAAATTATCCATCGTGTAGGGATGTGCACTGACACCAGAAATGAAGTGAAGCATAATCCTGGTATTTTATCCCTGAGGGAAGTTACAGCCTCTGTGCTGCCCTCACTGGCACTTCTCCCACAGCCAAGTTCCTCAATCAGCTGCTGGCAGCAAATTGTTTTTTCACCCCCATCTTTACCACGTCTTCTGCTTTCCTGCAGTCCATCTAAGAACCTTTGCTTCATGAAGAGCACAACATGTGAGACTCACTCAGACATTTCAGAGATAAAATCATTGCACACCTAATGATTAAATACAGCCTTTATTACAGAAAGACCAATAATAGAAAAATAAAGAGCATATCTTACTTCTCACAGCAAGTTATTTTTAGCAGCCATACATTATAGCAAGCTAACAGTGATCAGCCAAGCCATGTTCAGATACTCAAGATGCCAATCTAATCTCCCTTCCTCTTTCAACTGAATTAACAGCTGTTTCTTAATTTGTGCTTGTCCATCAGAGAACTGAAAGAACTGAAAGAAATTAAACCCTGCTTTTTAAACTCCTCAGTGACTTATCTATGTGTGACATCATTGTGTTTCTGAGATTCTCTGCACACCCAAGACCCTCATTTTGTCTTGGGTGCGCAGAGACCACAGGGGATGGTCTGGCATGGGAGCTGCAGCAGAGCATGGGAGCCATCAGGATGTGGGGATGTGCTCACCTCAGTCCTGGGATGGCCCCATGGCCTCCTGAGCAGCACACACTTGCACACAAGTTAAGCTTTGCTTCCCTGGTGGATGTATCATCAATGCACCACATCATCAGTGCACCCCATCACCCTGATCAGCACCTTCTGGTTCAGGGCTGGGTTGGTCTGAGCCTGTAGCTGAGGAAGAAGTGGGCTGGGGCTGCTGAGTCACTCTGGCACCCAGCTGCAGCTTTGTCTCCTCCCACAGCCAAAACTACCCTGCTGCCCCACAGCAGGGCCATTATGGCCCAGCTAGTGTGTAAGCAGTTTACCAAATGTCCTCCTCTTGTATGGTGTTCTTTTAGGGACTTTTTGCTCAAGATACTTCCCCAGACAAGATGTTTAAAAGAGCAAGTCTGGCAAACCAAGAGGAATTACCCCTATAGAGTCTTCCCAGTAGGAGGGACACCTCAAAGCCACTCCATTAGGTAAAAAAGTGCCAGCTAAATATATTCCTATATTCTGGCAGAAAACAAACATGGGCATCAGCTTTTAGAGCTGCACATAGCAGCTCAGGGAGCAGCTGGGCTGTCTGATTCTAATTCAGCATTAAATCTGGAGAGGCAACACTCCCTGCTATGCTGACACATCCCTGCTGCACGCTGGTTGGGTTTTGGGATCAGGGATGGACGTGATGGGATGCAGGCTGGGCCACAGCTGAGAGAAAGGCAGCACTTCAAGGCTGGGATCTCCTGATGCAGTAAGGATTTCTCCAATGGATAGTTACTGCTGTAAAGCACTAACTCCATTGGATTAATTTTGCTGCATGTTGGCAGCATTTCCTGGGAGCATCCAATCGTTTCATTGGTTTGCACCACGTGCACTTCACCGGTGCCACTTAGAGCAAGCCCAGAGTATCATTCATGTACAAATGGCAGAATGCAGCTTCAAAACATAGCAAGAAAAAGCATAAGAACAAATAAGATAAATCTGAATCCAAACATTGTTCAATACCAACACATTGATTCACTGAAGAAAGAAAAAAAAAACTATGGGGGAAAATATTATTTGTGCATCACTAGTAAAAATGGCAGGTGTCACAATATTAACCACAGAATTAGCAGTCATTAGTAACTCTTTTCTGTCCTCATGCTGATATCAGACTTTTATTAAATACTGACTATTAACATAAAGCAAATTTTCGGAACAGAACAAGCAAATGCTATATCCATGTCATTAGAAGTAACATAGATCACACAGTCCAGCAATCCAAAGAACAGGTGAAATGGGACTCAGCTTTGACAAGGGAAAGATATCTGATCCCTGTGCAGAACAGCTGAGGGCCAGACCATGTGCTGAGCTTTCTAGGCAGCTTTTGTTAAAATGGCCACATGTAGCAGACGGGGACAGTGACATCCCCACTGCAGGCACAGGCTCATTTTCAAATGGAAGCTCTTCATCCATTTACCTTTCCTCACAGACATCTCATTTTTTTAAAAAAGGTGAATGCTTTGAGTATAAAAATCTGCTTTCTAAGCAACAGATTCATAGTATTAAGTAACCCTGAGAATTAGAGGGATCTTATTAGGCCCAAGGTCTGAGTCCAGTTGCTGCTTGTCTGCTAAGGGGAGAAGGAGGAAGGAAAAATGAGCTCAATAAAGCTCATTAAGCATTATGAACAATGCTGGAGCCCTTTTGCAAAAGAATAATTGAAATACTTACATTTTAATCATTTTAATTTGAGTATTCAACTGAATACAGTCCAAATCATGGTGTCTGTATTCAAGTCTTGAAAGTTTGGTGTCCTATTTCTTGTGCTGTTTTACCTTATAAATGTATTCAGCTGTTCCTGTGCTCACAGCTGGTTCTGATGTTTCTCCAAGCGTAAAAGAGCTTCAAAATTGTCTTTATCTTTCTTATTTATTGGTTCATTCAGACTCAAAGGGAACATTTCTAGAGAATGGTAATTACTTCCAGCTACATATTATACTGATTATAGAGCATTATGGCCATGTTTCCTGCTTCACACAGACCAACATCTCTAATTAATTCATAGAATGGAAGAATTTCTTTTCTTTCTTCATTTAAATAAGTAAACTGCAATGGTGAAATACTAGTAAAATATCAAAACTATTTTTAAAATACTTAAGGGAATATCTGATATGACATAACCATCAATTTTATCCAGTGAAAATCCAGTGAGGTTTCATCACCATTAAAAACTGCAGAGAATTTGGGCCATTATTCATAGAAATTAAATTAACTCCCAGCATTTCTTTTTTGTTTAGATACAGATTAAACTGTCAAGGCATTTTTGCCTATGACTTCATCTTTCTTTTGTTTAATGAGTGCCATTCCACAGTCCTTTTCCAGGCCAAACTTTTATTAGTAAAATTTAAGCCATTAGCCTAACTCCTTGGAGGAAGTGTGCTCTTATTGAATATTATTTTCTCTTTTGCAAATGCTTTTATACATAATTTCTTATCATCTTGATGTAATTTGTTCCAGTGAGCAGATTGTGTGGCATGTGCACATGTGTATGTGTGTGTATGTGCATTTCTGCACATGTAAATCTTTTGTGACAAGGAACTTTTCCTTCTTACAACAAAGAACATGAGCTGGACTTAAATCTCAAAAGCAATTACTATTCTCATGCCTTCATCATTGGTTCAGCAGGAAATAGACTACAGAGTGTATCAGTGTGCTTCAAAGCAACTCCAGATTATTTCCATATGAAAATCCAGCTGCTCATCTGTGAGCACACTGGAAAATACTCACTTTTGGGCAGATTTGTCCAAGACCTGTGCAAGCTTTTATTTCCCACTGAAACCCTGACCATACAGCATCAGTGGATTTCCATTTCTCATGGACCTCATGCAGGTGCTCCAGTGGTGGCCACTTAATCCCAGGCATTTCCAGTGAGTGGCATCTTCCTGGATTAAGGGACCACCCTGTTGCCCCAGCAGAGGACATTTCCTGGGCTCAGTGTGGTCACTGTGACAGGCCCATGTCTGAACAGCACATGGGGGATTCCTGAGCTCTCACAAGACCAGGAACATATTCAGCTCCAGGGTAAGAGTCACAATTACCACTCTGTCTTTGCAAAGGGCTTAGTGGGAGAACCCCAGGAGTTTAGGAAGTGTAACTGTGTGTAGGACTGGAGAACTTGCTTGTGAGTGGAGTCACACTGACAATTCCCCTGAGATTTTGGCACTCACTGTGTTCTGAGAAAAGCTTTCAGTGAGCTCTCGCTCAGCAGGGTTGTCTGTAGCTGGTTTATTCTAAACCTTCTGGTTTATTCACCTGAAGGTCAGACTTACATCTTTTGATAAATCTAACCATCATTAACAAATCTGATGGATTTTCCGGGGGATAGTGATACTGCTTGCTTTAAGCTATTTTTAGGAATCTGGCTTAGGTGATCTGAATGACCTCCTTTGTTAACAACAGAGAGAATTTAGGCTCCTCATTTTGGACTACATCTAAATTAGATGCTAAGAATAGCCTAAGGCAGAAGGTGTGAGTTCTCTCCTTCCCACCTTAAAAGAACTCCTTCCAGAAACATTCATTAGCTGTAAACACATGGTGTCATCTCACTTAAAAATGTGGCTTCAGGGCAGGGAGATTTTCAGGCAGAAACAAAACTCCTGTGACTTCTCTGCTTGCTGCACACACTTGGAAGCACAAGGGCACCTCAGATGCGTTCATATCCTCTCTGTGGCTTCCTCCTGGAGATCAGGAAGGTGGCAAACACAATGACAAACAATCCCAGGATACTCAGGCACACTGCAATGGGAGCTACTTTGCCGTTTCGATCAAGAAAACATTCTTCTTCTGAAAGGAAAAGGAAATCAGAGAATGTTACAGCAGAACACCATACTCCTAAACTGTATATCTGTATTCCAGTAAAGTTGGCAAATACAAGCCAGAAGTTCTCAAAACCTTGCTTTGTTTTTTCTTTCTTTTTCCTATATACTTACTATATAGTATATATACTATACTTACTACACTATATTTACTACACTTTTTATCTTCGGTGAGACTTATCTCAAGAAAACCATCCTTGCCCCTTCTGCAGTAGCTCTGTGCTTCCCTGGAGAGTGGCTCTTCTCCCTCACATCTGCAGGAATTGTTTCACCACTCAGCACACACACAGCAGGGGCTTTGTTCCCAAAAGCAGATGGGAGCATCACAATACAAAGTGCCAGCCTGAAAATAAAGAGCAAGACATCCTGCATGGTCAAAAACTGCTCCTGTGTGACATCTGATTGCTTCTTCCCAGTGAAGAGGATCAGGCCAGAGACAGAAGCCCATAGTCCAGCACATCACTAGTGCAGTAGGGATCCTTGTTAAGTCATTGTTTTCTAAGAAAAATCAAATTCTAATTATTCTCTCTGTTTAATTCAGAGTATTTGTAGATAATGGTGGCTAACTCAGAACATTCAGAGATTAGGAAGGCAGAAGCCTTGGACATAGTCCAGGGAGTTGCTTTAGCAGTACCTTTGCAATTTTGTTGTACATATGATGGTATCATACACAAATCATATTTCTGAAGGACCATACAAAGATACCACTCCAAACATACCTCTTAGCTACAGAGAGGGCAAATTCTGGCTTTCTCAGCCAGTTCCTACCCAAATGAATACTCAAATCATCCCCTGATTAAACAGAAACTTATTACTTTAAAGTGAACTTCTAGACTGAAGTAAATTGGCAGCTTTCCTATGGACAGACTGCACCATGTGGGCCACTGACAGAAATGGAAAATTTACCCAGTAACAATGGCAGGATCAGCCTCAAATTCAAAATACAAGTGTAGTCCTGGGAGTGAAGGCAGTGTCTGGGAATGGCCACTAATGTGTTATCCCAGAATTGGATCAGACCTACATCTCCCACCGGCTCTACAGGAATGATCTCCCTCATGCTCCAAGGAAAGACAGATCTCTGTCATGCTGCTCTGAGTGGCAGCTGCAGAGCAAACTGTTCTCTGAGCAGGGCAGTGTGGTCAGCTAAACCCCACAGCTAAACCCCACAGTGGATCCCAGCTCAGCAGCAAATCCAGTTTATAGCCAGGATATATCCAACACCCTGTTCCCTCTCACTCCCTGGGGCTGTTCTGAGGCAGGATTGACAGCACTCTGAGATCAAAACCTCAGCTCTCATTCCATGACTGTGCTGGCACAGGTTGTAGCTTGGCTTGGGCTTTTCCCCCAGGGGAATTTTATTCTGTCAGTGGGCAATGAGCCCATGGAACATGTGGAGTCCATGACATCATGTTACAGCTCCAGAGCCTCCACCTGGCTCTTCCCAAAGTCTGACCCTCTTCTGCTCTAATCCAGATGGTGATGCAATGCCACAAAGCCAGCAGCATGAGCATTCCATTAGAGGCTGCCTTTTAAAAGCTTTGTCTGGTTAATGTAACCTGCTGTTAAATGAGCTGAAAAGTATTTGCATCTAAGTGTTGCAAAAACCAAAGATGTTTGAATTGGCCATTTTGCTTTGATGAAACATTGGGAATGAAGGAATGAACTCTATGAACTCTGGAAACTGTTTCTGATACAATGAAGTACAGAAGGCTCTTTTACATATTTCTAGACTCAAACAGATCAAGCTATTGATATAACAGTGCTGTAATCTGTACAAAATTGTAAGGAACTTGAAACCAGTGACCATTAATGTTTTCTTTTTCTTCCCCATTTAAAGATAAGCAAATCAGGAGCAACAGAAGTGAAACTATCAGTCCTGAGACACCCCAGGGGATGAGGCTGATGATGTGTTTAGTCATTCCTTCACTGGGGATTTTCTTTTTCAGAATCTGCACATGCAGCCAATACACCACCGTTTCATGACTGTTTTATAGCCACAGGGGAATTATTTCAGAGGTGGGAGCTGCTTTCTCAGCTCTCTGATTAAAAGAAAATCTAATTTAAATTTTTACATGGCATTGACTAGCAGAGATTGGTCTGACTTGGAGAGAGAGAAGGAGGAACAGAGAGCAACTTTCTCAGCTGAGCCTCTCGTAGAGGTGAGACCATACCTAGTCCCATCAGTAATATCATTCATTGTACACATTTGAATGGGAATGCAGGGACCAGATGGGATCCCATGAATTCTTCCAGCTCATTGTTATTGCATGAAAAAATTCTCCACAGAATGAGAGTACAGATGGGCTTCTCAGTGTGGAGAAAGACTATGTCTTTAAAAAGCCGCAAATGCTGTTTCCCGTTATATCCCTGTTAGAATGGAAAAGATAACCAAAATGGTGACCTAACAGGAGAAGAATTGGTCAAACAGAGCCAAACAGTCAAAAGACAGATCTAAAGTAAAAAGAATACGGGGCAGTATTTTGTAAGCACACAGAAAGACAAGTGGCAGAAGAGAAAATGTCTTATTCCTGCATCTGAAGGGCTGGAGAGCTGGTCAGCCCCTCTGTGCACCTGAGTCCTTGTATGGAAATGCCCTGAGAGGAAGCCACAGAAATGAGAAAATGGACAACTTGAAAGAGATCACAAGGTCCCACTGAGTCCCCCTCTCTGGTCTTTGTCTTTTACTGCAATACCTGATTGCCTCTTTGTGGCACTCCTCCAAGAAAAGACAAACTGAAGAGATGAGCATCATGTTTAATTCTGAAGCTGGGAGTGGGCCAGTTGTGCTCCTCCTCAGGAGCACATTTCATCATGTCTAGACACAGCTGCTCTGAAAATATCATCCTGCATTCACAAATATCCCTTATTAGCTGACAGTTTTGCTGCTGCAGTTGAGTGAGTATCAGGAGCCTTTTAGAATAGCTAAAATCTGAAATCTGGCTATATTGAGAACAGTGACCTGGAAATGAACTTTGCACGTTGGGGTTTGGGTGCAGTGATGGTGAACACACCTCTGCTTGTTCCAGGAGAAAATGGATGAAGAAGAAAATTGTGGCTGTAGAACTGAACATTTTTAATGAGAAGGTGAAACAGAAGGTACTGAATGCAGGGGGGAAAGATATTTTTCCATCCTCCATAGGTATTAGCACTGTGTTGGAAATGACTCAGAAAAGGTTGAGAAAACAGCAGTGGGATGTGTTTGGGTATAATTTAGCAGATTTCATCCATCAGGCCAGCAGAGTGCTGTAGATCTGGGAAGGGTGGAAAAGTATCCTTCTACTCACCTTTTCCAAACTGGTCACCCACAATGTCAAAGGCCTGCAGCTGCATATGAACAAAGAGGATCTGGAAATTGTTCTCCAAGGGGAAGGTTTGCCTGCTGGCACACTTAAAGGAATTCCCCAGCTTTGTTGTGAACAGCTTCTCATTTAGGGCTGCATAGTAAAGCATACCTGGAGGCCAGAGAGAGACAGATGAGAATCCACACTGACTCCATTGGAACCAACACCTTCCTGAGGTAAAATGGTCCCAGAGGTGAATAAAGCACAGAACATTTTCTCCATAAACTATCACTTATTCTTCTTACATGTTTAAATGAGTGCTTTAACTATCAATGGACAACTCAGCTGAGCTTAGGTCTGAAAAACTGGCTAAAATTTCAGATGCTTCTTCAAATCACATTTTAACAAATTGAGTCAGCAAGAGGGGGTAGAATCTCACAGGAGCAGGCAAGGTTTGAAGTAATCTCTATTCTGAAAGAGTGGGGCAGGGAAAGCTTTTGAGATCAAAAAGAAAATGTAGTAATAGTGATGTAACTGCAGCCAGGCCCCTTCTCTTCCTTTTTTATACCACAAGATTTAGGTGAATGACACATTGAAAGCTTGATAAAACACGTATTTGCAACATCCAGTGTTTTAAAGATCTGAAAGCTTATCCCACACCCAGAACAGTTTGATATGAAATTAAGACAGGTTAAAATCACTGACCTTCAGAAGATAACTGTATTCTGCTCTCAATTTTAGTGACAGAGTAACTTGGAGCTTGCTGCAAAAGAAGATGTATCTTTATTCATAATACATGCTCATATTTGCAGGGGAAAGAAACACAGCTTACCTCCACAAAATGGTCATAAGGAATTTCCCAAAGGAACACTTTGTAAAGCACCACCTTTGAGACCCAAGAACCAACTCTCTTGGATTTTTTTTTCTTTTCCAAATCTCAGCTGCATCACCAGTTCAATGAAATGGGGCCATACAGATGTCATTTTACACAAACTGCTCAAGCTGGGCACTCCTCAGATACTTGTGATAACCAATAGTAGGAAGATTGCTGACATGGAAAGCACCTGGCACAACAGCACAGAACAGAATTTCCAGCCAGGTGTCCTGCTCACATGTGCCCTGAAACCCTGGTGCAGCCTGGACACTGCTCTCCCCTGGGGTGCCACAGGGCAAGAGCCAGCCCTGGGAGCTTCTCCCTGGTAGCAATGTTGCAGTAAAATGTGATGCCTCATGCAGCAGCCCTGCTACCCTGTTTAATTCCTGCTGTGGGCACACAGGGATTCATGAGTGCAGCTGGTGGATAAATTACCTGAATGTCTCCTGTGCACTTGTAGGATGGAGCTGGAAAATTGAAGAAAGAAATGCACCAGAGGAGAGGTTCTCAGCATCATTCCAACTTAAAGACATAAATATGACCATTTTTGGATGGTAGTTCTGCTTGGCCACGGTTAAAAACTTTGCTTGGGGAAAACACCTGCTCCTACTTCACATCTTGTGGGTTGGTTACACAACTTCCCTTTTTCAAGCCCTTTCACGAAGGCCACTGGAGTGGTGAGCAATGAACCAGCCCCTCTCCTCTGCCACCCCAGCCCCGGGGCCTGAGCCAGCTCCTCTCCCACAGGGACAGCCACAAGTGCCACTGCTGGGGCACTCCTGCTTCAGAGCACTGGGAGAGGCTGTGGGGACTAAACACAAAAAGCCAGCAGCAAACTGTTTTCTTATTAACTTGAATTTCAAAGCAGTCCAAGCTGAGCCCTGCTATGCTCTTGAGGCTTATCTTTAAGTGGAGGGTGCATTGTCTAATGCTGTGCCAAAAACCACCTTTTTCAGGGCAAGGCAGGTCAAGGACCTCCTAAAGGTTCACATCACTCTCCTTAGCACTGCTGCAACCTGGGGGCTTTCGTGGGTACTTGAATCCCCAGCCTTTCCCTAAGGATTCTTGTAACACCAAAAATGCTCCTCTTGTTGCAGGAAGCACACATTTAAAGCAAACACTCAGAGTCTGAACTGATCCCTTGTTTTGAAAGAGCTCCTTCATTTTTTACCTTACTTTTCCTCTGTAGCTCTTAGAAAACTTTTAGCCGTAAGCTAAAATAAAGATGACTACTAATCGAAATATTTTCTCCGTTCAAGAATTAATGACACATGTGGGGTATAATTTCCTGTTCCCTCTTCATTTTTATGAAAATGACTGATTAACCATTTGTACTTTTCTTAATTGTCTCTAATTTGAGACTTGCAGCTTGGAACCAGGCTGCAAGACTGACATTTAGCTTGATTAATTGAAGGACACAGATCAGCAGTGATGGCCAGATGAAGCTCTCAGCTGCTGTGGAGCTCCAGGACGTGGCCTTGATGTTCATTACACTTGCCCGAGTTTGATGGGATCCAGCCATGTTCCTGCCCATTCCTCCCTGCCCATTAATGACTTCATGCACAGTGTTAGTTCTGTTTTACCTCTGCTGGCATCATCACCCAGCCCTTACAGCTTTCAGGTAAATAGTGCTGCCTTCCAAAATGTGCAAATCCCTGATTTAGCAATAGGATGGCTGCTCTCAGGGATCATCTCCTGTGCTTGTAAAAGCTGCAGCACTCTTGGTAGCTTGTGTGAAAGCCACACCTGCATGTGATGTGGCCCCAGTGGGGAATTTGGAATTAATAGATACAGTGTCAAAAACAAAGCTCCGTTTCCCACTGTGTAAGCAGGATCTCTCATCTTGTCCAAGTTTCTCTGTGTGTTTATAGGGTCTCCCTGGTGTGGTGCATTTTAAGGCCACTTATCTACAATTTTGTTGTTGGCAGTTCACTTGTTTGGAATTCTCCACTCAGAAATTAGATGAAATTAGACTCCTTCAGCTGTGGATGTGTCATAGCTCCTGGGCACTTAAAACTGCACAGGCTGTCCTTTGAATTTGACAACCCCAGCTGGCTTTTAGGGGACACAAATGGCTGAGAGCAACTTGACAGTGAGAGTCAGAGCTCCCAGCACACCTTGTTCCTGCACAGGGACTCCAGTCCCAAACCCCTTCCCTCTGCACCACTCCAATGCAAACAGCAGATCTGACCTCCCCTACCATGAGACTTTTACCTATGTAAAAAAAGACTCAAATTTTGCTTGGATATTCCTAGACTTTGTGTTGCTTGATGAGCAGCTTTAACATTACTCTCTGGCACTTTCTGTCAGAGAATGGCAGAGTACTGTGCCTACCCTTCCCTTCCAAATGGAAAGTTCAAACAGAGCTGATCTAACACTGAAGTCAGTTGTACTGTGAGCATGACATTGCACAGGCAGCCTGCAGAGGTATTTTCCAATCTGAATTAATTAAAGCATGGTTCTCTGGTTCTGGCCCTTTGGGTAGAACAGGAGTAACCATGCCCTATATACAGATGGAAAACAAGCACAGAGATGGATAAAATGCCTTTTCCCACAGCTCAAGCTGGATCAAAGGCAGCTTTGCTTTGTTCTTGCTTTCCAGTCCTAAACACTCCTTCCCTCTAAATGCAACAATTACCTTTACAAAGGTGATGTTTACAAATCCTCCACTAAAAGTTAAGTTCAGCTCAGACTGCACCATCCCACAGCTTCCAGATATCTTTGTCATATTGGGGTTGACAGTCACATATTCCATCTGCTCCTGTGGAGAAAAGAGACATTGCAGGGCTGCTGATGAATGAAAGCAAACATGCAGAGATTTAATAACTTTAAAACATGCAGAGATTTGCCCTTTTTATGCCCCCAGACAGGCTCTGTGTGGCTGAATGAACAGGCTAGTGGTGGTGGCAGCCGAACTGCTGCTTGCCAGGGTTGTTCCCCACTTATGAACCAGCACTGGTGGTTGTCTGACACATCACTGAATTGTTCCAGTGCATGAAGCTGGCAGAAAATACTTGGTTTCTGTTCATTCAGTGAACTGATGATTCAGGCAGAGTCAGGTGAGTATGAGTGGTAATTTACAGAGAGGGAGTACCTTATATTATTATCAACATCTCACTATGGTGAGGTTGGGAATCCTGCTCCCTTCCTGGCTTCTGCCAAGAAAAGGGATGAAAATTACCTTTACCAACATTAGTCACTCTTCCTATGTTAGCAATATTCAGACATCAAACATGAGTATTTGTATGTGTAACAGGGATGGCATAAGAACTCCAGAGCCTGAGGATGTAGCTCTATATGGTGTATTAATTGAGGCAAAAAAACCTTAAGCCTGAGGGACACAATTGCCATTTCAGATTGTATGGCATCTGTTGCTGAATCATTCTCAGTGGATCACTTCTAGGAGAGAGGAGCAGCTCTTCAGGACCTGGCAGTTCCCAATGTCCTAAAATGTCCATACATCAGCATCTGGACAGCCCATCTCTAAATCCAAGTCTGTGAACTGGCAATTTCCTGCTTTCATTGCAAATCACAATGTCAAGCTCTTACCTGAAGTCAGTTCAGATTTTAACTAACCTCCCATTGTGGGAAGCACAAATAACCTTGCAGGCTGCTCCCCTGCCCCAGCATTGCTGCCACACAAATATCACTGAGAGCACCTTTACATCCCCTTGGCACCATCATCACACAGGCCAGAGAGGGTACAGCAGTGGGGATGCTGTGGCATGAGGGGCCTTAGACTGGCATCAAACCCCTTATCTTGATCATAGAAGCTAATTCTGAAAATGGCTTGGAAAGAGGAAGAAAAAGCTCCTGCTAATTAATGAAGTCACTAAAAGGTCAGCACCACCTCACCTGCTGTGTATTTCGGCCCATCAGCTGCAGGCCCATGACGGCTTTGACGCAGGTCCCGTTCCCATCAGAAATGGTGTAGGTGCCTGTGGGGATGGCAGAGGGCTCTGGGGTGGGAGAGGGTCTTACTGTGCTGGCAGGGGACGTGGGGGCTGTCTGTGTCCCTGCATGGGTGCCTGTTGTGTTGGTCACGGCCGTGGCTGTTGGATCACCCGTGGCTGTTGTTTGTCTCCGTGACCGTGTGCTGGGCCCGGCCCTCGGCGTGCTGGTGGCTGTGCTGGCAGCTGTCCCCTGGGTGCTTGCTGTCTCCTGCTTCAGGGAGGTGTTGGTGGCCACTGCTGCAGTTCCTGTGCTCACAAGTGGTCCCGTGCCATGCCTGGTGGAGGACACAGGGGCAGAGGTTGTGTTCTTGGCTGCAGCTGTAAGTGAGGGCATGGCGGGGGCCGCAGCCTGGCCGGCCGTGCTGGGGCTGCCTGCAGGGGCTGGGGATGGTGCTGCTGCTCCTGCCATGGGCTGGCCTGCAGCTGATGCTGCCTGCAGCTGCTCCCTTGTCTGCTCAATCGTTCTGTGGCTCGTGGGTGTTGTTTGAAGAGGGTCTGTGCTGGCAAGATGAACTGTGGTGCTTTGATGGGGCGAAGAATGATAAAAGGAAAGCGACTGAGCAGAAGTAGCCATTTGGTGGAAGGATGTGGTTTCTGGAGACAGTTCAACCCCCAGGGCCACTTCAGCAAAGCAGGAGGAAAATGCTGCAAAGAAACTAAAGTCAGTAGTCTAGAAACCTTTAGACTTCACTTTTATGTTGATAACCACAACATACCTGCACTGGCTTTTTTATCAAATGTGTGATACAATTTCACTTTCATTTGGCTCCAGTCATGATAGGAGAGTGAAGGCAGACACCTTGTAGGACTATCCACAGCTAGACACCAATCCCCCAAGCTTCACACCTCTGAGTATTCCCATTCCAGGGGAGCAAACTGGCTCCCAGCTCTCCACACACGGAGGAAGCAGACCTTGCACAATCCCCAGGCAGCACAAGAATTCCCTGCAGGAGGTAGTTCAGCAGGATTTGCTGGAAGCAAATTATTGAGGTCTAAGGAAGATGAAGTGGGTGTAGAGGCCAGAGGGGTTGGTTTCTTACCAACAAAGTGTAGGGAGTGGGGATGTGTCTGTGTGTGTGAAGGAAGTGAGGCAGTGTCATGGTCTTACAGTGATTCACAAGTCTGGGAAACCAGTCTGGGAACAGGGAAATTCCAGGTATTTATTTTGTTGTAGCAATGTCAGCTTGAACCCTGGAGTTCTTCCTCCTGGAAGAACCCAAAGAAAAACCACCCCTCTAAGTGATGAGCTTTCAGAAATGAAAAAAAACATTAGGGCGCAGCATCCAGGAGCATTTTGGACCACATTAGGAAATAGTTAGAATACCAAAATTATGCTTCCACCTAATAACATTTACAGAAATGTGTCTCTTGCAGAAGTGAAAAAAAATTAACTGGCTCCTAAATGTAAATATAGAAGTGAATAAAAAATGGGAAAGTACACTGTAGAATATTTGAATGTCACAACTCTTCTGCTTGAGTCTTTGTGAGTGTGCAACAAGACTCTGGAAAGACAAGGCTGAGTTAAAGAAATAAATCACTGATGTTTGTGAATTCTTTGATGTACATGAAGGTACAGGTAGTTAAATGCTTTACTGCCTAAATTAGTGGGAGGACAGAGATAAATTCTCCCGTTTGGAGACAGAAGGGACCCAAAAGTCCAAGATAGCTCATATTCCCAGCAGTACAGCTCCACAGAGAATGCCTCAACATGTCTGAGTTCACTGTACACTGGTTCTTTCAAAGAAATTTCTCATGAATTGGTGTCAAAGTTGATGGCAGGCAGGCTGCTGAGATTAGAGTATCAGGATACATTAATGCCAGAGGCACATTTGGAGTGAAAATGGCTGAAATCTCACAAGGTCTTCCATTTATTCACTTATTTACTGTCACTCATCATGAACAGAGGTCTTCAATAATAACTGAATTCACAAAATCTAACCATTTTCAGATACATATAATCTAAGTAAGAATAATAGAACTCACGGGGTTTTGAATCAAATTCAAGATAAAAGAAACAAGAGCAGAGGCACAGATCTTAACCCTTACCACAATTTTCCCTTAAATATGGCAATGCTGGAGAAGAGCAGAAATGCAGGTGTAAATACTCCATACTCCTAAAATTGCCTGGGTTTCACTCTGAGCTGTACAGAACACACCTGACTGCCACTTTAGGTGTTACCATCAAAATGCAACTTGAGACAGTTGAAAAACCTCAAAAATATTGTGGTTTTTCTCAAAATGAACATAAAAATGCATAATTCATATGATATTTTAATTCATTTTCTTTCTTTCCCCTATGCTTTGCCACAGCTGATGCAGAGCTGTATATCAGATGACTGATCTCCTTCTGTGGGGCCAGGGGAAAGCCAGAGCAGTTGCCATGCACCACTTATGGGTAGCTGCATCCAAGTGTATCAGCATGATAAAAACAAGAAAGAAGAAGTTGCAATTTTCACTCTTTCTTCCCCTCTAAGACTGTGAAACAATCCATATTTAAATTTACATGAGTCCTAAATTGTCTGTAGGTCTTAGTTTTCAGCTCACAGATTGGTTTTGATTACTGACCAGGTTACACAGATGTAGAAAGAAATATTGAAGTGACATTAGAATATCACCCATAGCTTTTAAAAAAACTCCTCAAAAGGTCATTTCAACCCAATTACTTTTCATTATTCAGCAAGACAGGGTGACCTGAGGGGTGAAGCCAGCAATGTCTTTGGAATGGCCCATGGTTCTTGCTCACTGGGTGACTACCAGACTGTTCCTCCAAGAATTTAGGGGTTTCTGCCAGTGCATGATGGCCACACTGCTAAATCCTTTGGCTTGGTCTTCCCAAAAGGCATTTGGCCACAGCAGCCCCCAGGGATGGGCAGGGATCCCTCTCCAGCTGCCCCCATTGGCACTGGCTGTGTTTGGGGGGCTGCTGGAGGTGGTTTGGTGGCCCTGCTGGGTGAAGGGGCAGATGGGCCCATGGAGTCCCTGGCTTACCCTCCAGCTGAGGCTGGGAAGGACTCCATGGCTCCTTGGCATGGCCAGGTTCCTCTCTGGGAGCCTGGCACAGCTCAGAAAGCAGCTGAGACCACAACTCCCCCAGCACAGCCTTTTGTGGCTCTGCCAGCAGAACAGAACAGGCCACAGAAACACGAGGAGTGGCAGCTCTGCACCCCCAGTCGTTTCCTTTTTTCCCCCCTTCTATAATGCCAACTCAAAACTTCATCCAAGCAACATTTTGTTTGAGGGATGCAAGTGCCCTGGGGTGAATCTTCCCAGAGCAAGCAGCTGCAGTCCCCTTGTCTCACTTCAGCACCAAAATTGTGTGTAACAGATGCTGAGGGCTGTGTGGGAGCCCTGACAGCCTCCTTGCAATGCTCCAGAAAAAACTCCCAGAAACGGCACAATTCTCAGAAATTCACTGTTCCCAGTCTGGGCCTGGAGATCCCTTTTTCATGCTTTGGGGACAAGTTTTGGTCACAAGAACATCACTGCTGTGCTCCCAGGTGTTATGGTGGGAAGCTGAGTGCTCAGTGCCATGGCCTGGCTGTGCTATTTCTCAGCCTGTGCTGGGGTGTGTGATAGAAACTCATCCCCTTTTCATCTAACCACACTCATCTGTTCAGCTGTCCCACAGTGTTGTTCTCCACTAGTTATGTTTCATTCCCTGTCTGCATAGAAGGACTTGACTTTGTGACATTAATAAAACATCACAACAAATTATTAAAGGAAAGATCAAAATCGAGTAAAGAACAGAGGAAACAAGTTCTTTCTGGTCAAAAGTGATTGCTGACCACTGAATTATTAGTGTTGCTACTCAGTCTGATCTTGCTCTCCCTTTCATCTGTATGTTTGGGGGCTATTTCAGCAGACTTTGGCTATGAAGCAGGCATGGGAAAGCAGAGAGATACAGCAGGAGCTGCTCGTGGTCAAGTCCCTGGGCACTTTCCCTGCTCATGGACTGGGAGGGGGACAGGGCTGTTCTTTCTGTCATCCCCATGTGCTGATGGCAAAGCATACCCAACAGCAAGCTCAAACCCTTGGCCCTTCCACAGATTAAATCACATTTTGTCCTCTTCACCAGGCAAATTTGGTGCTCCTGCAGGTGTTGAGCAGTGACTGGGAGATGTCCTTCATGTGTATGGCTCCCCAGATTTTCACAGAGCAGCATTAAGGGTCAGATGGTGACTCTGATGGGGTTTGTCATTGAGAGAAGCCCCAGTCTCTTCTCCAAGCTCCTGCCTCACTCCTGCTTTCCTGATCCTGCTCTGCATCTTGCAATGCAGATAAATGAATGACTCGAGCAATGCTTCCTTAGTTTTTTCTTTCTTGCTTGTCTCACTCAAGATTTTCAGTTAGATCAGCAGGTCTGGAAATTATTTTTAATTATGAAAAGCAAAGCCAAAAAAGTCTCCTTCTAACAAGGCTTGGAACTGACTCCTTCACACAGAGTTTATGCCACCACAAGAGTTCAAGGGAAAATACAGAGGAAAACATCAAAAACTAAGTGTATCTTAAAAACGAAACAGGTGGATACACTGTGTGTGTCAAACTGAGGGTATAGCAGCTGCAATGAACAGCAGGTATGGTTATTTCTTAGCAGTGGGACTTGACTGAAAGCACCCTCAGTGTTAGCAACAAAACTGTCCAAAGTTTTGAGTCTGTTGGGTGCTGTCCTGACTGCAAGGAAACCAGACTGACATAATGTCCCGTTTTCCAGGTAGAAATGATGCTGTTACTCACCACAGGCGAGGGTCAGCGAGATGAGCTGCCGTGCGCTCCTCCCCATGGCCAGCACGGCTGTGAGAGGCGCTGCTTCTCCCGGAGCCGGTGCAGAGCAAACCCAGCTCTGCTGCGGACTGAAAAGTTTCACTGGCTGCAGGGAGTGCTCAGTCACATGGCTGGGAAGGAGGTGGAGAGAGAGGGGGACACCGATGCCTCTCGCCTGTAAACTCGCGCAGAAGGAAATAAATGATGGTTAGGAAAGAAAGTGAAAAGAGAAATGACTGCTGGGCTGACTGGGAGGAGACCTGGGGCTCTGCGAGACCAGGGAAAGCTTCGTGCATCTCCCTCCCTGTGTGAGAACCTGGTGCAGAGTGCCCCAGCAGAGGGTTACAGCTGTAAAAGCTGTAAATCAGTGTCTCCCCTGTGTTCTTTAGAAAAATACTTTATTTAAGGGCAAACTCCATCTTTTATGTTAAGGCACAGAAGGGAGAGGGGTGTGACCATCTGCACAAAGCACCTGCTGAAAGTAATACAGGGCTGAGCAAAGCCGCACACGGGCTCTTGTCCCATGGGCACCATCCTGTGCTGCCTGGCCCCGTGCTGCTCCCCCAAGGTGGGTGTGCAAGCGTGTGCAGGGGTGTGCGTGAGTGTGCGCGGGTGTGCATGAGTGTGAGCGGGTGTGCATGAGTGTGAGCGAGTGTGCATGAGTGTGCACGGGTGTGCGTGAGTGTGAGCGAGTGTGCATGGGTGTGAGAGGGTGTGCAAGAGTATGAGTGAGTGTGCATGCGTGTGCACAAGTGTGAGCAGGTGTGCGCGAGTGTGAGCAGGTGTGCATGAGTGTGCACGGGTGTGAGCGGGTGTGCATGGGTGTGAGCGGGTGTGCATGGGTGTGCGTGAGTGTGAGCGGGTGTGCATGAGTGTGCGCGGGTGTGCGTGAGTGTGCACAAGTGTGAGCGGGTGTGCAAGAGTGTGAGCGAGTGTGCATGAGTGTGCGTGAGTGTAAGTGAGTGTGCAAGGGTGTGAGCAGGTGTGCGTGAGTGTGAGCGGGTGTGCCTGGGCGTGCGTGAGTGTGCAAGAGTGTGAGCGAGTGTGCAAGAGTGTGAGCAGGTGTGCGTGAGTGTGAGTGAGTGTGAGCGGGTGTGCATGAGTGTCACACCGAGGGCTCCTGCCCAGCTCCGCGGGCCGGCGCAGGAGCCGTGCAGGCAGTGCAGGCTGCAGGGCCGGGATGTGCAGCAGGGGAGCCTCACTCCCTCCTGCCCTGGCATCCCCTGCCCTGGGCATCTGCCAGGGCCCTGCTTGGGCAGGGAGCAAAGCAGCCCCCACGCTGGCATCTGGCTGCTCCTCATTCTTCTTTTCCTCATGCCAATATCAGCTGCAGGAACCAAAGACTTGAAGAGTCAGGTGAGGTGAAGTTTGCTCCCAGAAATCTGGATGCTGCATGAAATCAGCAGCAGGTCCAGTTTATCTTGCTCTATTTGCACTGTTTCCACATTCTTATTTTCACCTGCTTGCCTTTCTACATGATCCACAGTTTGTATTTGGATCAATTAGCACTCCCTAATGAACACTGGTAGGCAAAGGCATGCAGATATCTCAGGAGTAACTATTATAAAGTCATCTATGACTCTCTGTCTGTGTGAACCTTTGCACAGGTTCCCAGTGACTCAGAACACAACTAAGGGAGATGGGTAATGGAAAAAACCCTGCTCTGCCTTTTGATACATGTGTTGGACAAATTACTCTTATATTGGACAAATATGTCAATTTTTTCAGCTCTGATAATGGGCCTTTACTGATAAAGGCCCATTATCAGAGTATTCTTGTATTTCAAATAGAAAAAAAATGTCATTTTACTTGTTGCTTCATATAGAGACATCAACCACAAGGTTTTGTACTAGTTATAATTTTTATAAATTTCAAACAAAGTGTGGTTCTACACAGGTCAGAATGGCCTAATTACAGGAAGTTCATTTGCCCACTTTTTTTTCTTGTAATAAATTCATACATTCTGTATTGACTGGAAAAAAGGACAGGTAATTCTGTGCTCCTTCCCTGTCTGATTATCTCTCATCAGTCACAATATACAAATACATCATTATCAACACAATGGAAATCATGTAAGAAAACAAACTGTACCAATTCTCAGCTGGGGACAGGAAATCTTAGCAGCTATTTCAGTCCAGCTGCAAGAAGAAATACACATTTTGGATCTTTTTTTCTTATTATTCTTATATATCTCTAATCACATATATATATATATTTGAAGTCTTTGAGTATTTTTGGAAAGGAATCTCATGGCCTTTCTCATACCCAATCCTGTTTGAAATATCAAGACTCTAAGAAAATCATAGATAATAAAATGGCTTCTCATCACACACACGACCAGAACGTGACACACACAGAGCTTTGCTGTTGCTGGCAAGGAAAGCCAGAGCTCAGAAGTGGTTTGGCTGCAGCTGTTTGTGTTCAAGACAATGAGCACTGGTCTGGTTCTCCACCTGGTGGGGTTCCAGGTGAGAGGAGAGGATCAGGCCTGATTCTGTTTTAGTCTGGTTTACTAAAAGCAAGACTTGTGTGTCGTGCAACTGCCCGTCTCTGTTCGCCATTGGTGCCAGGGAAGGACTCTGCAGCCCACCCACACCTGAGTGGGCACTTTTGAGGGCAATTTTGAGGATGTGAAGTTTCTGAAGTTTCACAGAAGAGCAGCAGAGCAAAGAGAAGAGAGCCCAGGCAAACCCTCAGCCTGGAGGGCAGGTGTGGCCAGCCCAGGCCCAGGAACAGAGCCAGGCACGGGGCCAGCAGCAAGGGCTGCTGCAGCACAGATTTACCTGGGATCTGGTGTCTTCTACAGCCAAATCTTAGTCACAACCATTACCTTTAAATGACTTCTAAATGGTCACTAGAGCATCTCCAAACAACACTGAAATGAAATCCTAATTTGCAAACTATGATTTTTAGGTCCATCTACCTGAGTAGGATGGTGTCAAAGACCTACAGACAGAATAAGCATACCCTAACACACATTAGTCTTGCTGGACTTTACCAAATCATCTTCTAGACTGTACATGGAAAGTCATTCCCTTAATTATCTCTTTGCTTGACAGAAATACACTAATTAAAAGACTGCCCTGCATACTATTTAAAAAACTCAAAAAGTCATCAAACCCCATTTTGTCTCAGCAAAGCCAGAAGGTTGCTCTTTTGTCTTTTCATCCATCAGCAATGTCACAAATCTTCAATTTGGCAGTTTCATACACTCAGGGTAACCCTTCCCTATCTCTCTCTCCCACACACAAAAGGTAACTATACTCTCTAATGTGCAATCAAAGCTCCCTAGCCCTTCCCTCTCCTATGCTTAGGGCAGGGGTAGACAGCAGCACTGTTCCTGTGCAAAATTACTGAAAGTAATAGAGAAACCAGAATTAATTCATTTTAGGGAGAGGATAAAGTAATTGCACTATAAGAAAATGTCGCTGCATATTTCCTTAGGGGACTGAAAGGAATCAATTCTTCCTGCAAAATGCTGATAACCACAGTAGACTAAGAGGATTCGTGCTCCTGAGAGCCTACATGTTACTTTTGAGGTAAATGACCAACACAAACAGGCAAGCTCCTGCCTCTGTAGAACAAAAATAGCTTCCAGAAAGGTCCTTTAGTCCTGAACAGAAAATGTCAAAAATCACAGAGTTTAGATATGGAGGGTTAGAAGAGCCATGGGAATCAATCGCCACATTGCAACTTATAATCAAGCAGTAAGTCTTCACAGGCAAAAAAAAAATCTGACTAACCCTTAACCTGCTCCAAGGCTTTTTCTCAAACAGGACTATCTGCCTGCTCCACAGCTATCCTGACTCCCATACTAAGGTACTTGCAACACCATCCTCCACTGAGACACAAAGGAAAACATTCGAGCCCCTGCGAAGGTGAGAGCAGAAATGACACACACACCTACTGCTTTGCTCAGAGGCTCACTTAGTAAAGAGTGGGTTTTGGTTTGCTTCATCTCCATTTCTAGTGCTTTCAGTGCCCTTTTTTATTTACATAAAGCACCACTAGTCTGAGGGTTAAACAAAACATCCCTAAGAGTGAAAGCCACTCACTCACTCTTGAGCTTCTTCTGGGCTCATTTTTACCAGACTAATGTTTGCCTGTTTGCAGCTCTTAGTCAATATTTATCTTTACTAGCAGCTAGTTTAAATAGCTAGTTTAGCTATTTATCTTTACTAGCAGTATTTATCAGTACTAGCAGCTTTTGTGGGACCTAAGACACAATTACCATCAAAATGCCTTCATGCCTTAACAGCTGCTCTAAATGAGCTAATGGCTTCTATAGGAATCAAAACATCTGTAATCACTTTATATTATACATTACATCCTTATGTGGCAGAGATTTGGTACAGTCCTTTCATCAAACGTCCTGGAAAGAAGTATTTAACAACAAACATTTTATCCACTCATTGGAGCATCTAATGCTCACTGCCTATTTGCAATGCTTAAGGATATTCCAAATGGGGGGTGAAATGTATCTACTCATAGCCCAGCACACAAGGAAAGCATGCAGTCTACTCAAACATGTGACAGTAAATGGCATTCAACTGAATTCTCGGCACCAAATGCAAAGGGTTGTGATCCAGCAACCAGAGACTGTAGAGGGGGCAGAGGAATGACTTGGACTGTAAAAAGAGTTCAGAGTGTTCTTTGTCACAGTAGCTGTTACATGTCTTTACTTCCCTGCTTAGCCCTGCACCATGCCAGGTGTGGAATGCTGTGTGCAGCAGGGCCTTCCAGGGCCATGGCACTGCTGCACGGAGCCTCTCTGATGTCCCAGCCAGAAGTCTCCTTTCCACAGCCACCCTCAAGTGGGGTGTTTTTGGTGTTGACTGACAGCAAAAAGGGCACATTTGTGATGATGTATCAGCTGGAATTAAGGAGGACAGGGAAGGCACAGCCAGAGGCAAGCAAATGGAAAAACCTCCAGGTGACCCCAGGGTGGAGCAAGGACTCGTAACCACCACGTGCCCCTCTGCAGTGAGTGGTGCTCAAGCAAAGTTGCCAAAAGGTGCGTGCATAGAGACTCTTCAGCTCTGCTGTCGACCTAATTTAGGCCACATCTTCTGAAACAGTTTGATAATCAATGCAAGAAGCATTTTTCTCCTCTAATACTGAAGGTAGGTTTGATGTTTTGTGGATGTTTAATGCTCCTTTCAAGTTTGTTTTTCCCAGCTTGCCAGGTGGACAGCACAGTTCTCATCTGTTCATGTTGATAAAATT